TTTTCCCAATATTTTTTTCCCCGTGTCCCAGACCTGTTACATCTGCGAGGAGCAGGGCCGGGAGAGCAAAGCGGCCTCGGGAGCGTGCATGGCGTGCAATCGGCACGGCTGCCGCCAGGCCTTCCACGTCACCTGGTGAGATTCCCGGGAATTCTCCTCTGGGATGCTCCCGCAGCCGCCCCTTCCCGGCCCTGGATTTGGGGCCGCGCTCCCCCGGCTGTTGTGGGGTTTTGGGTTCGATCCCACCCCGGGATCTGGGGCTGCCTCCTCCTCCTCCTCCTCGCTCAGGTGGGAAGGGTTTTCCAGGAGTTCTCAGTGTTGGGAATTCCCTGTGGGATCCAAGAGGAGGAGAGGGGTGAATCASCAGCCGGGAAGATCCTTCCCCAAATTCTGGCTGGGAATATTGGGGTTGAAAAGGTTGATTATGCTCAGGAGCCCTCAGAACAGCCCCGGGCTCTGCATGAGTGGGGAGATTCCGATTTGCACGGATTCCCTTCTCCTTCTGTCGGAATCATCCCCGATTTCCCTTTAAAAAACCGCAAAACTGCCAGAAAAAAGRGTGGAAAGAACGTATTTTGAGGGTTTCGTGTAAATTCTAGCAGGCTGCTCTTTCCCACGGAAGCAGGGGAGTTGCAGGCCCTGCCTGGGTTATCCCGGCTGATCCCGTGGCCTCGGGCAGGAATTTCCCCCTTTTCCCACTAATTCCCGGTGTTTCAGCGCGCAGATGGCCGGGCTCCTGTGCGAGGAGGAAGTGCTGGAGGTCGACAACGTCAAATACTGTGGCTACTGCAAGTACCACTTCAACAAAATGGTGAGGTTCTCAATGGAATTTTATCTATTTAGGGAATTTTATTTATTTCGGGAATTGTAATGGTTTGGGGGRGCATTGGCTCTGTCCACGCTCGGARCAGCGGGAAATGCCAGGAGGAATCCCACAGGGACGCGGGCAGCTGCTCTTCCCTCTGAGTTATCCCATAATTGAGGTTCAATTGAAATTTTGCATTTCTGGAGAATCTTTGGAATTCCTGGAGCCATTTGGAAAAGCAAGGGTTGGATTATTTGGGATTTTTCCCGGCTGTTTGGATTTCCCTCTCCCAGGAAAGGAGGTGCTCCAGGGTTCTCCAGGGGTTTGGGGTGGCTTCGGGTCCAGSGTTAGGAACTGTTCAGGCTTTGTCCCTTTCCCACCCCTTGGCTCATGGAAGCACCAAAATCTGGACCCATAATGCCTTTGCCCTCCTTTTTTTGTTGTTTTTTTCTGCTTTTATTTTGTTGGTTTTTTTGTTTTGTTCTGTTCTGTTTTGTTCTGTTCTGTTCTGTTCTGTTCTGTTTTGTTTTGTTCTGTTTTGTTTTATCTTGTTGTTTTGTTCTGTTTTGTTCTGTGTTGTTCTGTTTTGTTTTGTTTTGTTTTGTTTTGTTTTGTTCTGTTTTGTTCTGTTTTGTTCTGTTTTCCCCCGTTTTCCCCACTTTTCCCCCATCCCCGATTCCCTCAGAAGACCTCCCGGCATTCCGGGAGCAGCTCCTTCCTCGCGGGCCGGAGGAGCCGCTCGGCGTCCCCCACGCAGGAGAAGCTCCTGTCCCACCACGAGAGACCCAAGAAGGTGAGAAATTCCCGGGATTCCTCAATCCGGGGGGAAAAGGAGGCGGAGGTGGCTCTAAACCCAAAATCTGGGGCTGGTCGCCCTTGGAGTTGAAGTTAAAAATAGTAACAAATTTAAAATTTCAATAAAAATAATAAATTTAAATTATTATAATAATTTTAAATTCACAATAACAATAATTTTAAAAGAATAATTATTGTTTTAAAATAATAACTTTAAAATAATAATTTTAAAGTTAAAATTAATAACAATAAAAATCCTGATTATTGGTCAGCAGGGTAATTTTGGGGGAAGAAAAAATTAATTCATGTGGATTAYGGAGCGGTTTTGAGTCGGATTTACCAGGAAAAGGGTTCAAGTTTTCTCTGAAATGAGTTTATCTGGATAAAATAATTATTTAGGAGCCAGGTCTGGCTGGGGCAGGAATTTTTAACGCTCCTGGTCCCAAAAAAAGGGCTCCACCATTCCTGGATGTGGCAGCAGCACCCCAGGGTTTATCATCAACCCACAGCTCAGGTGGGAATGGCTGGAATTCCCGGGAAAAGCAGCCGGGAATGTGGGAGGCAGAGATGAGGAGCCAGGGGCTGTCTGGGGCTGCCTTCTGTACCCAGAAATAGCCCCAAAAGGTTGGGTTTGGGGTTTTTTTGAAGATTTGGGCTCTCAGAGATGTGGGGAGAGGAATAAAGGGTTTTTCCTGCAGATTTTGTGGGAGGATGGATCCACTCCGAGGCACTGGGGCGGGAATGAGTTTCACAGGGACTCTGCCAGTGTGGCTGGGGAGTTTTTAGGGGTTTTTGGGCCATGTCCCGGGTTACAACAGGAATCAGGGAATTATTGAATGGTTTGGGTTGGGAGGGACCTTAAATCCCATCCAGTTCCATCCGGGGACGCCTCCCACTATCSCAGGTGTCAGAAAAGTCCCGTCCAACCTGCTCTTGGACACTTCCAGGGATGGGGCATCCTCTGGGAATCCCATCCCGGCCCCTCCCCACCCTCCCAGGGAGGAATTCCATCCCAATATCCCACCCAAAACACCCCTCCCTTTCCTCAAAACCCTTCCCGGTGTCCYGTCATTGCATTTCCTTGGTGAAATTCCCTCTCCAGCTGTCCCAGAACCCCTGGAATGTGCTCCAAACTCTTCCCAAATCTCCTCCTCCTCCCGCCAGCCCCGGATTGAAGCCAAAAGCCGAATTTCCCCCGTACAAACCCAATTCAGGACATTCCCAGCGGGAATCCTCCACCTCCGCCCGTGTTTACCCTTTGGGATCTGTTCCCGTCCCGTTGCCCCCCGGAATGTGCCAATCCCTTGGGATTGGCCGCGACCCCAAAGCGGCCCCGCTGGATCCCCCCAGAGGATCCCTCCCCTCCCGGCCGGGAATTCTCCCACAACTTCCAGCTGGGAACGCCGCCCGCCAGGTTTTGGGAAGCGATCCCAGATCCTTGGGCGAGCAGGGAAACCCCAATCCCGAAGTGGCGCTGACGCGGAGCCGGGAAATGCAGGGCAGGGGAATGTTTGGAGGAGGAGGAGGAGGAGGAGGAGGAGGAGGGAGGAAGAGCCCGCGGCTCGGCACCGGGCGGGGCTGGAACGTTGCTATTTTTATCCCGGGAAGGGCGGGATCGGGGGGGATTGACGGAGCTTTGGGAGGCTCAGCTGGAATTATCCCAGCCCTGGCACGGGTGGGAATCAGGGCAGCGCCAGCGGGAGAGAGAGAACGGCAGAAATTGGGATTTATTTATGGCCTCTGCCGCTGTTGGAGGCTCCCGAATGAGTCCGGCTCCGGAGGCGGCGGATCCCTCTGGAGGCCCCTTCCAGGGCTGGAATTGCCTCGTGCAGCGGGAGAGGGGTGCGGGAAGGGGCTCAGGGCGCTTCAGGGGGGTCACAGGGCTGGGAGTGGCTGTGGAATATCCCTTCGGGGGGGCTCGGCCGTTCCTTCCCCATGGATCGGGAATGCCAGAGCGGCCGTGTTGCCATGGAATTGGGAATGCSGCTTTGCCCTGAGCCTGTCCGGAGCCGGATCCCTCCGGGCAGAGCTGGGATCCTGGCAATGGGGACTCCCCTGGGCTGCGGGGCCTGGCAATTCCCAGGATTTGCTCGGAATTTCCGTTGGAAACTTTGGAACTTTGGTCACGGTGGGGCTCAGGATTTAACCCGGTGAAACAGCTGGGAGAGCGGCAGGAGGAGCGGAGCCCCCTCGGCTCTTCCCTCCCTCCTGGTCCTGCCCAATCCCGCTCTCAGGCTCCAATTCCCGGTGTCCAGGGATGGGGAGCGGGGGCTCGGGGAAGGGGAGGCGGCGCTGGAGGAGCCGCTCGCAGCCCCTTCTGGCAGCCCGAGATTCCTTTCGGATCCTCCGGCTCTCCAGGGCTCTCCCTGCCCCGAGCCSCCGCTGCTCCATCCCGCTTCGCTTTCCATGAATTCGGGGCTGGGGGCGCATTCCCGTCCCCGGGCAGCGCCGAGCGAGGTAGGGCTGGGCTAAAGAGCTGGGAATGGGGTGGGAAAGGTTTCCTGCTCTCCCGGTGCATCCTCCCTCCTCCTGCGCGGAACTCCCGCTCCTGCCGGCGCTGTTATCCCTGGAATTCCCGCCCCGTGTGCCAAGGAGCCGGCTGGCCAGGGGACAGGGGAGGGACAGGGGACACGGARGGGAGGGGACAGATCCCCGCTCCCCCCTCCCCTCTCCCTCCCTGTGGTTTCCGCAGGAAGCTCTTGGAGGTTTCAGGTTCTCGGGGAGAACCCGCAGGGTTCAAAACCTCCGGAGGAATTTGGGGACACCCCGAGCCAGGGGACACCGAGCCCCCAAATCCAGTGCTGTGGTGCCGTCACCACCCTGGGCCAGCCCTGGGGTGACAATTTCCCTGGGGTCATTTCCATGACCTGCTGGACATGGGCAGTTCTCCAGGAATCCAGAGGACTCTGTCACATCCTGGCGCTTTGGGAGCTCCCAGAATTTTCAGGGATCACCTGGAGGGTGGCACGGTGCAACCAAAGTGGGCAAAGCTCAGCCCAGAGGATGCCCAGGGTTGGGGGTTCCTGCCCTGCTCAGGCAGGAATGGCACAGAAAGCCTGGAAAAGATGGGATGAGGAACAGGAAAGGGGTTTGGAAAAGTCAGGCGGAGCCCTTGCGGAGATTCCAGCTCCGGAGCAGCTTCTGGATCTGAGCACGGAGCTCTGGGGCCCGGAATTCCCAAGAATGGGAGTGCAGCTGCTCGGCACGTGCAACCCAGGCTGGATCTTCCCAAAAAAAACCCCAATCTGCAGAGTTTGGAATTGCTTTTGGGAAAACCCGAGCATTTATTTTGGAAATGGGAGCCTGCTGGGGATCCTGCGGGAGTTTGTGCCCATTCCCTCCCGGACCCGAGTTCCAGGAGTGCCCACAGCACAGAGAGCGTTCAAATGCGAAAYGGGAATGAGGGCTCTGCTCCTGCTCCCATCCCCGAGCGCTGCATCCGGGAGATCGCTGCTTTCCAGCTGAGTTTAGGGGTGGATTGTCCTGGAAAATGGGCAAATTCCCCCATCCCCAGCTTTCCTTTCCCCTCTGGAAAATATGTGGAGATGTGAGATAAAAAACKTTCCCTGCCGTTCCCAAGGAACTGGGACGCGCTTTTCTCATCTCCCTGTCCTGGAAAACGCGGGAGACTCCYGGAGGATTTTATAGCATGGGAAGCCCCGAGGATTTAAAAGATTGATGAGTTTTAGCGAAGATTTGATTAAAATTTAATTTCCGTTTGTCTTACGCCACTCAGGCTGGAAAAATCCTATTTTCCAGCTCCTTTTTCGTTGTCAAGGCTGGGAATGTGCACTAAAAAAAGGGTGAAAAAATGAAATTAGAGGTTTGGGGTTTTTTGTGGAATATTGTAGCTCCAGGAACGGATATTCCAAATTCCACGAAACCGGGAGCAGGGCTGGGAGAGGCCACCGGGGGATCTCCGGGGTGGATTCTGGGATCTCCACAGCTGATCCAGGAATCGAGGATCCCATTATTCCCTGGCTCTGGGAAAGCCTGGAATGAGGCGGAGAGGGGGGGAAAGGATCCCTTCAGGGGATGGCAGGAGGAAAGCTCCAGGGAATTCCATTTTCCTGGAATCATCCAGGGCCTGTTCAATCCTTCCCTCTCCTCTTCCCATCGACTGATCCGGGGGTTTCCGTGGATATTCTGGGCTCCAGATGTTGGCTGCAGCTGGAGCAGGGACCCTGGGATGCATCCCGGGGCCGGGATTGTGCGGATGGGTGGAGAAGGGAGCTCTGGATGTAAATCCAGCCCTGCATTCCCTCCTTCCCTTCCCCTCCCTGCTGCTCTTCCCAGCAGCGGGAATTCTGACATTCCAGTGCTTCCTGGTTTGTTTGGGTTTTTTCCCCAGAGCCGCAAGGACAAGGAGAGACCAAAACAGAAGCACAAGAAGCGTCCGGAGTCTCCGAGCAGCCTCCCCACGGCCCCTGTGGCTGTGGCCGCTGACAAGGTACAGACCATGGGACGGGCAGCAAAATCCACCCCCAAATGGGGAAAACGGGCAGGAAAACCCACCTGGGAAACAGGGAAAAGGGGCAGGAAAACCCACCTGGGAAACAGGGAAAAGGGGCGGGAAAACCCACCTGGGAAACAGGGAAAAGGGGCAGGGAAACCCACCTGGGAAACAGGGAAAAGGGGCAGGAAATGTGACACAATCACAGCCCAGGCTGGAGGTTTTGGGGCTGGAGACTCTGTCCCTGATCCCTGTTTCATTTTCTGCAGTTCCTTGGGATGAGCCCAATCCCAGAGAATGTAAATCCTGSTGTCACCGAGCAGCAGGAGATGTCACAAAGTCACTTTTCTCCCCTGAGGGACCCAGCGTGGGCCTTTTGTGAGAGAGGGAGCGATTCCTGTTCTGAAAGGGGGGAAAATCGGGAAAGCCAGGAAAATCGGGAAAAGGAGCTCCCACTGCAGCCACTGCTGGTCCCGGGGGTGACCCCTTGTCTGTCCCCCACCCAGGGCTCCGGAGGCCACCACGAGGCCACCAAGGACACTTTGGAGGYGGCCAGGGCCGAGGCCAAGGGCAGGAAATCCTCGAGCCATGGCAGCGGCCACAAGGGCAAGAAGACGGGAAGCGGGAAAAGCTCGGCCGGGTTCGGCTCAGCCACGTCCGGCAGCAGCTTCCAGCCCGCGGGTGAGGGCCGAGGAGGAGGAGGAGGAGGGAGAGGAAGGACAAGGAAGGCTMCCCCAAAGCCCTCCCTCGGCTGTTGCCCCATTCCACCCCTGGAATGTTGGGATGGGGGGATTCGGGACTGGGGGAACGGCCCCACTGCCAGCTGCCCCTTCCCAGGGAGGTGACAGAGGTGACATCTGGGGACACCTGGTGACACCCCCTTCATCCCCTGTCCCCCGCTGCAGTTCCCCAGTGACCCCACTGCCCCTCTGAGCCATCCCAGAGAGTGACAGGCGGTGACTCTGTCCCCCTGCCCACTGTCCCCCGTCCCCAGGTCCCTCCTGCAGCAGCCTGGGCTGCTCCCCGGACTTCGTGACCTTCCCCAAGCTGGAGCAGGAGGACGAGAAGTTCCGCAAAGCCGCGTCCTCGTCCTCGTCCTCGCGCTGCTCGCCGCTGGCCGAGGGCCCCGCCAAGGGCGACACCTTCGAGCAGAAAGTCATCTTCTCCGGCTTCGGCTCCATCATGCGCTTCTCCACSGCGGCCGTGGGCCAGCAGCGCGCCCGCGACGCCTCCCCCGTGGACTACAAAGCCCCCGGCGCCCTCGGCGGCCCCGCGGGGGCCAGCGGTGGCCACAAGCGAATGCCGTCGCTCAGCGCCGAGGAGGGGGAGGTCCTCAAGGAGAAGAAGCACAAGGGCAGCAAGAAGAACAAGCACGGGCCCGGCCGGCCCAAGGTGGGCAAAGGCAAAGAGATTTTGGGGGCCCAGCTGGCCGGGTCCACGTCCACATCCTCGTCCCCCTTCTCTGGGGGGTCCCTGGTGAGCTCCAGCATTGGGAATTCCGCCCGGAGTTTCAGCCACCCCGGGAGTCTGCCCAGCCTCAGCGTGGAGTCGCCGCTGCTGGGTTCAGGTACATCCCCCACCGAGGGGGCTGGGTGGGCTCAGATCCCTTTTCCAGCCTTTTCCAGCCTTTTCCAGCCTTTTCCAGCCTTTTCCAGCCTTTTCCAGCCTTTTCCAGCCTTTTGCAGCATTGAGCTCGGAGCTGTCTGCTCTGAGCTCTGTCCCTTGAGCCCATGAGAATCAGTGAAAAATCCACAAAAGTCCATAAAAATCCACAAAAGTCCACGTTTGTGTTTCTCCGTTCCATCCTGGCCTTCACCCTKGAATTTCTCCCAGGTCACCTTCCCTGAAGTTGGGGTGTAACTCTGAGCTTGGGGACATCTCAAATTTCTTTGCTCTGGTGCAAATACAACTGGCCAGAGCTGAATTCCCAGCTGGATACAGAGGGACATTGCCTGACCCCAAATTAGGGAAGAGAGGAGGGAATCGTTGCTCCCYGGTCCTTCAGACAGGGCACAGGAGGGAATGGCAGCTCCTTAACTCTGTGGAGAGAGTGACCTGTTGGAGAGGGGAAAGAGAAGGGATTGGTGTCTCCTTAATCCATCCGAGAGGAGGACAGGAGGGAATGGCGCCTCCCTGGGCCTTTGGGGCAGGAAGGGAGSAAGGAATCGCAGCTCCCTAACCTTCGGGAGAGGAGGGAATGTGGCTCCCTAAGCCTGGGGGAAGAGAAGAGGGAATGCCGGCTCCGTGATCCTCCGGGAAGGAGGGAGGGCGGGAGGGAGGGAGGGAATGCCGTGTCGCTGATCGTGTCCCGCCCGCAGGGATCTACACGAGCAACAAGGACCCGATCTCGCTGGGCGGAGCGGCGCTGCGGGCGGGGAGCAGCACCCCGCTGCCCTCGGGGCTCCTGGCGCACCGCTCGCCCTTCGCCGGCTCCATCGCCGCCTCCTCCGCCGCCTCCGGAGCCACCACGCAGGTGAGGAGCCGGGAGCCGCTGCCCTCGGGACAATTGCATGGAGCGGGGACGCAGGAGCGGCTTTTCCGCGCTTGCCGGGGGTTGGAGCGGGAGCTGCTCCCCTCGGGGACGGGGGAAGGTGCGGGTGGCCTTGGTGTCCCTGCAATGGGAGCAATGGAACACTCGAAGGGCACTGCCTGGAGCTCCCCATTGCTCTGCAGAGTGCTGTCCGTGGGTCCCGGGCTGGATCCTGTCCCSATCCTGTGCTGGATCCTGTGCAGTGCCACCCCTGATCCCGTATCCCGACCCTGCTGTGTCCCCGCCGTCCCCCCGTCCCTCTGCCAGGAGCTCTCCGGGCGCTGTTCTCCAGGGAAYTGGGATTGGATCCACACCATCCCCACAGCTTCTTCCTTCCCGGCTCCCAGACAGCCCTGGGAACATTCCAACTTTCTCTCCAGACTTCCAGGAAGATATTTTTACTGCTCTCTCTGGGCTGGAGCTGGGAAGAGCTGGAATAACGTGGTTATTTCCCTGTTTTCCTGCGCAGGTGTTTTCCTTGGCAGGTTCCACGTTCAGCCTCCCTTCCTCGCACATTTTTGGGAGCCCCCTGACGTCCGGGCTGTCCCTGAACCCACTCCTRGGCCAGCCGGAGAGCAGCCGGGCAGGTACGTGAATCCCAAACCGTGTTCGAACTGGGGCTCCCCGACAGCGCTCGGGAGGAGCCGAGGCCATCGCTGCATCCCCGGCATTCGCAGCCCTGGGGGTGACAGCCGGGGTGGCACCGGGGSATGGCGGTGTCGTGGCTGCTCCTGGGTAATGATGGCTGTCCCTGGTCACCCACTGGGAAAGTTCAGGAATGTCAAACCCTCCTTCCCTGAGGAATTTGTTGGGATTTTTCCCACCCCACAGCTGGGTAAGCCCCGTGATAGCTTGGCTGGCTCAAAACACCTCCAAAATTTCTGGTTTGCTTTTTTTTCCTGGGAYTCTTTTCCAGTGAGAGGCCTCTCACACCTCCAACCTCCATCTCCCAGTCCCTTCCCAGTCACTTCCTGCTCTTTCCAGTTGACTTTGCCACGAATGCCCCAAAATCCAGATTTCCACTCCCAAACATGAATGTRCCAGCCCTGGATTCCTGACAACTGCTCACTTTTTTCCACCAAGGCAAATCCATTTTCCTTGGAAAATTGCCTGGTTAATGAGCAGAAAACTTGGAGCAAGTTTTTTCTATTATTTTTCCCCTTCAGGCTGATTTTTGATCCTAAATTTTGACACAAAACCACCCTCCTAGTTTTCAGCTGTTGGTGCGACTGTGCTTCCCTATACCAGAAATTTGGGATGCAGAATCTTGGGAGGTGAAACCCTGCCTGATATCACACTGAGTGACAAGGACTTGAAAACACGGCCCTAATTAGGGGTGGCTCAAGAAAATCCTCTGCTCCTGTTCCCTCCTTTGCCATTCCAAGGCTGGGAAGCATGGATGGGAAGCTTCCATGATGAAGGGAATTACCTTTCCCGCACCAAAGGCTTCTCCCTGTGCTGTTATTCTGGAATCATCCATCAGGAATAACCCCAGAATCCAGATCCTGTTCCAGCCGTACTCAGGAATGGACTGTGGAGACAAAATCCATCATCCAAAGTGCTCAGAAAACCTCCCGATCCTCAATTTCCTTTTCAAAAGTTGTTCTTTTTGCTTGACTGGGATTTTAGGAGCTTCGGGATGGGGATTTTTCCCAATTCCAATGGGGGACAGCTCCTCGTTTTTGTCACATTTAGGGTTTGTCCATCACTGGCATTGGTGGGCCAGAGGGTGCTCAGCCAAATTCACCGAATTCTTTTTTTTTTTTTAATGGGAATTCATTAACGTGGATTACAACTCCTGTGTGGAGCTGTTTTCCGTGAAAAACACGGAGATTCCTTTAATCTCAAACGGTTCATGGGACGTTTGGGAAGCTCCAGGCAATCCCACTTTGCTTTTAATCCAGATTCCCTTTCCCGGGAGTGTCTGTGCAGGCAAATCCCACAGAGGCAGCACCTTCGCTGTGGCAATATCCCAGCTTTTTCCCATTTTTTCTGCACTGGAGGAGGTGATTCCAGCTGTGGGAATGGTGAATTTGTTGGGGTTCATCCCCTTGGCAGTGCAGGAAGTCTGATCCTTATCTGTGCTCCTGTCTCGCCCTCCCTCCCACGGCTTCTCCCGGATCCCGGTGATGACAGAGCCGATGGATTTCTCTTCCCTGCTTGTCTCCGAGCCGCCTTCCCAGCCTGGTGCCTCGGGAAGGGCTGTCCCTGGGCGATAACTSCCTCATCTCCCGCTCTGGAGAATCCAGGCTTGTGTGGGATGATGGAATGTGGAGCCTGGTGCTGCCCCAGACACCGGGACTGCAGCAAACGGTGCAGCAGGAACGAGCAGGGAGCCAAAGCTTCCGGGGATTTTTAGTGGGTTGGAAATCAAAGTGTTTTTGGGGGAGCTGCCTGCACCAGGCTGGGGCTGCTCCTGTTGGGATCAGGGAACAGTGTGGGTTGGGCGGTGCCTTAAATCCCATCCAGGGACACTTCCCACTATCCCAGGGGGGGCTCCAAGCCCCATCCAACCTGGCCTGGGACAGGGATCCAGGGGCAGCCACAGCTTCTCTGGGAAATCCATCCCAGCCTCTCCCTGCCCTCACAGTCAGGAGTTCCTTCCCCATACCCCACCGAATCCTGCCCCTTTCCAGTTCAAACCCATTCCCCGAGTCCTGTCCCTCCATCCCCTGTCCCAAATCCCTCTCTTGGAACCTGCTCAGGCACTGGAAGGTGCTCCAGGGTCTGACTCTGGGAGATCCTGGCAGCTGCTGGCCACATCCAGGCAGACAATCCCCGTCCAGCCAGACATTCCCGAGGGGGGAGCGAGGATCCCCCGAACCCACCCTGGAAAAGCACAGCTGCATTCGCTCCTTCCCAGCAGCAGGAAATGCCCCGCTCCGGGCATCCCGCTGTAAATCACAGCATTCCCTGTGGGAGATTTCCGGGATTCCTGTGCGTGGGAATGTGTGGGGATGGAGASGAGGGGTAGGGAGGCAGCTGGAGCTGCAGTCACAGCACCTGGCACGTGTTCTGCGGATGGGAAGCAAATGGCAGACAAATGCATTCCAGCCCTGGATTATCCTTGGAATGGGAGAAATCCCAGATGTGGGCACGGCAATCCCATCCCAGGTTTCCTGGGACAGAGGGATGCCTCTGGAGGAAGCACTTCTGCCCTGTGCTGGGCACTGCTGAGGGCACRCCTCAAATCCCCGGCTCGGTTTTGGGATCTTCCTGAGAAGGGCGTGGAGGGGCTCGAGAGTGTCCAGGGAAAGTTCTAGACCCCCAGGAGCAGCTGAGAAAGCTGGGAATGTTTATCCCYGAGAAAACAGGGATCTGGGGGGACCTTCTGTCTCTGCACAAGTCCCTGACACGAGGGGACAGCCGGGGGGTGTCAGGCCCTGCTGCCAGGGGAACAGGGACAGGAGGAGAGGGAACGGCCTCAGGCTGTGCCAGGGGAGCTTTTGATTGGATAGAAGGGAAAATTTCTTCATGGAAAGGATGGTCGGGCCCTGGCAGGGTAGTGGAGGAGTTCCCATCCCTGGGAGGGTTTGGAAAATGTGTGGATGTGGCATTTGGGGACAGGGGCAGYGCCTGGTTAATGATTGCACTCTATGACCTTGGAGGGCTTTTCCAACCTGAACGATTCCATGATTCTCTGTAAGCTCTTTAGAAAGGAACTGAGTGCCTGGAAACCTTAAAGGACCCCAGCCAGGTTTGGGAAAAGGATCCTCAATCCTGGGGGACCTTAAAGGTCTTTTCCAACCTAAACGGTCCCTCCTACGGGAGAGACAGCCTAAACGGTCCCTCCTACGGGAGAGACAGCCTAAACGGTCCCTCCTACGGGAGAGACAGCCTAAACGGTCCTGCTACGGTCCCCCTGGGTTACAGGGCCCGTCCCGGAGCCGGGGGGGCGCGGTGGCCCCGGGCAGGGCCCGGGATTTTTCCGTCCCCGCGGGCCTCTCCSCCGGCAGCCCCGGGAGAACCGGCTCGGGGGTTTCCAGCGGAGCGTAAAGCTCCTCCGCGCCCGGCTCGGGGATAGAGCGGCTCCGGGTGACCTTGCSGGGGTGACACCCCCGTGCCGGTGCCAGGCGGTGCCAGCGGCTCCTCCCCGGGGGTGGCGCCTGCGGGCACGCGTTGCGCTTCTGGGTGCGGAGCTGCCCGGGGCCGCCCGGTGCCATTCGGTGCCGTTCGGTGCTGCCCGGTGCCATTCGGTGCCGTTCGGTGCTGCCCGGGGCTCGGTTCTGGTGCCGCTCGGTGCTGCCCGGGGCTCGGTTCTGGTGCCGCCCGGTGCTGCCCGGGGCTCGGTTCTGGTGCCGCTCGGTGCTGCCCGGGGCTCGGTTCTGGTGCCGCCCGGTGCTGCCCGGGGCTCGGTTCTGGTGCCGCTCGGTGCTGCCCGGGGCTCGGTTCTGGTGCCGCYCGGTGCWGCCCGGGGCTCGGTTCTGGTGCCGCTCGGTGCTCCCCCGTGCCGCCCGGTACCGCTCGGTGCCCCCATCCAGCGGGCGCATCCCGAGCACCGGCCGCGCCGGGCGCCGCTGACCCCGTGCCCTCTGTCCGTGTCCCCGAGCAGAGCCGGACCTGGAGGATTGCGGCTTTGGCTGCCGAGGGACGTCCCCGCAGGAGAGCCTGTCCTCCATGTGAGTGTCTCCCGGGAATCCCGGGACAGCGCGGGGGGACACGGCAGGGACAGGGCGACAGCCTGAGGGGGGACAGGAGCAGCTCCTGCTCTGCTCCTTGGGGCCGGGAGTGGGGTGGGATGGRGAGCGGGTAATGCAGAAGGGAACGGGGCAGGGAATGAACGGGGCAGGGAACACCCCTGACGCCCCCACCCCCACCCAGGTCCCCCATCAGCAGCCTGCCCACCCTCTTCGACCAGACCGTGTCGTGCAGCAGCAGCGGGCAGCTGGACAATGTCCCCCAGGCCACCCCCAACATCGAGCAGCTCCTGGAGAAGCAGGGCAATGGCGAGGCCGGCGTCAACAGTGAGCGCCCGGGGCCGGGAGGCGGCGGGGCAGCTGCCGGGGCTTCGGGGTGGGAGCCAGCTGGGATTCTGCCCGCGGGCAGCGGGGCCGGGCGGGGGACAAAGCTCCAGTGTGTGCCACGGGGGAGGAGCTGGCAGCGGGGCCGCGCTTTGGGGCCGGGATGCTCCCGCACTGGGGTCTGATTGTGGATCCTGTGGTTCCCTTTCCTCTTTCCTCCCTTTTTTCTCCCTTTTTCCCCATTTCCCCCGCAGTCGTCGAGATGCTGAAGGCCCTGCACTCGCTGCAGAAGGAGAACCAGCGGCTGCAGGAGCAGATCATGACGCTGACGGCCAAGAAGGAGCGGCTCCAGCTCCTCAATGTCCAGCTGTCCGTCCCCTTCCCCGTGGTGACCAGCAGCAACGGCCCGGGCAGCCAGGCCCAGTACATCCTCCCCGCCAACGGTGAGGCCACCCAAGGGACGTGTCCCCTGTGCCCGGGGGTGGCAGAAGCAGGAACGGTGGGGTGGGATCTGTCCCACTGAGCCCCACTGTCCCTGCGGCCACCTCATGCTCCGGCCCTGACCCTGTGCTGTCCCCCTGCAGTGTGCACCAGCGACTCGCTGAGCATCAGCAAGAGCCCCCCGTGCAAGAACAGCTTCGGCATCGAGAACTCGCTCTCCACGTCCTCCGAGGTACAGCGGCCTCTGCAGCCCCCGGCGGCCGGGCGGGGTCTCGGGAGGGGCAGCGCAGCCCCGAGACTCAGTAGCCAGCTCGCCAAGCCTCGTAGCCCAGGCTCAGAGTTCAGGGTCTCCCTGCAGGGTCAGAGAGATGGGTAGAGTAGCTGAGAGCGGGAGTAGCTGAGGTGAGAGGAGTGCTTCCAGGTGATCCCAGAGATCCAGCAGAGCTGGGCCTGAGCTCTGGGACCCCTCTGAGTTCTGGGACCGCCCTCACTCAAGTCACCTGAGGCCCCTGCTCCACAGCCCCCGCCCGTTCCCGGAGCCGAGCCGACCTCGGGCGGCCGYCCCAGTCCGATGCTCTTGTGTCCGTTTCTCCCCCAGGACCCTCACTCAGGGTGTCCCAGCAGGAGCAGCTCCTCCCTGTCCTTCCACAGCACGCCCCCGCCCCTGCCCATGCTGCAGCCCAGCCCGGCCGCGCTGCCCCTGCCCCTGCCCGGGGCGCAGCAGGTGAACGGCCTGGCCAGGGCGGCCGGCGGGGCGCTGGCAGGAGGCTCCGGCGGCGGCCACGGCCTCTCGGCGCTGCCCGTGGTGGACGGCCTGCTGGGCAGCCTGGCCGGAGCCCAGCAGATGCCCCTCAACGGGATCCTGGGGAGCCTGAACGGAGCCCAGCCCGCCCAGCCTCCGAGCGCGCCGGCCCCGGCCAGCGGGCCCCCGGCCCTGCAGCTCTCCAGCGGCCTGAGCAGGTGAGGATGGGCGGCCCCGGCCTCTCCAGCCGCAGTTTAGCTCGGGAAGGGAGGGAGCGGGGGAAGGCACCGGCCCCGAGCGTGCGGGAGCCGCTCTGACCTGCCCCGCCCCGCTCTGTCCCGCAGCATTCCCAGCCTGAGTCCCCTGACGGAGCAGCAGCGGCACGTCCTGCACCAGCACGAGCAGCAGCTGCAGCAGCTCCAGCAGCTCCTGACTTCCCAGCCCCTTAACCCGGTAAGGGATGGGCTGCTTGTCAGGAAAACCTCAGAATGGAGAGGAAAAGTTAAAGTTCCCTCCTCCYCCCAGATCTCCTGCACCCACCCTTGGGGTCAGCAGGATGGGCTGGGGGAGGAAATTCGGAGCCCGTTTGGAAATTCGGGATAGGGAGTGCCACAAAACTTCGGGCAGGAGGGTGCAGCACCTCCAGGGGAGAAAAGTTGAAATTGAACTCTTTTTGTGTTGAATTTTAAAAAGTTCARTCTGGGTTTCTCCCATCTTGAGAGAGTGAGAAGGTGGGAGCCTGAGGTGAAGTCAGGAGGGTGAAATCGGGAGAGCTGTCACCTCCTGCAGCCATCTCGGATGCAAATCCTGCCCGATGCCACTGCCGGGTGCACCAACGGGAGAGGCTGAACGTGCCGGGGGGACCCTGCCGGGGGTTAGAAAGAGAGAAACCCCAATTTCCTGCTGTCCTGGGGCAGCTGAGCATGCCTGGGCACATCCGCATGGAAAACYGGAGATTCCAGGGGAGTTCTGCAGGTGAATGAGGGTTTTGGGGTCTGGGAAAGGCCCGCGCAGCTGCTCCSAGGCTCTTGGCCCCGAGGGGTGGACCCAGCCCTGATCCAGGAATGTCACCATGGACAGGTGGCAGACAGGTCCCTGAGGTGGCAAACCTGGCCCTGCAGGGACCGCAGGGATGTCTCCGCCCTGCCTGGGGTGACATGGCAATGTCACCGTGGAGAGGTGGCAAACAGGTCCCTGGGGTGGCACAGCACAGCCCCTGGCCCTGCAGAGCCCTCAGCACTGTCCCTGCCCTGCCTGGAGTGCAACGAGGGTGCCACCAGTGCCTGTCACCAGGGCTGAGCCATGGGCCAGGGCTAGGGCTAGGGCTAGGKYTAGGGCTAGGTTTAGGGTTGGATTATGGTTAGGGTGGTGTTTAGGTTTAGTGTTTGGTTCAGGGGTAAGTTTGGGTTTAGTTTTAGGCTTAGTGTTAGGCTTAGGGTTCGGGTTTGCGTTAGGGTGCTGTCTTCCAGGGGCCCGTGCCCTCTCTCTCGATGCATTTTTTGGTCAGGCTGTTTTTCTCCCGGGAAAGGCCGGTTTCTCCTGGCTTCCTGGCGCGGCAGCTGATGTCACCGTGTCATGGGCTGTGCCCAGTGGGGACAGGGCGATGGCAGCAGCTCTCAGCTGCGGTCGATGGTTGCCATGGCGATTCCTGTCGTTTCCTGGGTATCAGGGCGTCCCTTGAACCCCCCCTCCCAGCGGCTCCTGCTCGCCTGCAGCCCACTCTGGGGGCAGTGGGAGGAATTCTGAGCCAGTTTGGGAATTCAGGACAGGACAATCCTGTGTTGATGGATTGGAATTGGCGGAGGGGATTTGTGTCCCTGCAGGTGTCTGGGGGAGGGTCGCTAATCCCAGKCAGGGAACAGCAGGGTCACGGTCACGGGTTTAATGAACAGCAGGGCTGCTCCTCCCTTTCCCTGCGGACATGGGATCAAGGGGACTTTGTCCCTGTCCCCAGAAGCATTGCCTGGGACAGGGTGTTCCATGGAATCACTCRAATTGGAAAAGACCCCCAAAATCATCCGTTCCAACCTTTGCTCAAACCTCACCATGCCCGTTAAACCAAACCAAGGTGACGCCTTCAGTCGTTCCTTGAGCACTCCCAAGGCTGGTGACTCCAGCACTCCCTGTCCACTCTGTTCCAGTCTAATCGGAAATTCCTCCTGATATTCACCTGATATTCCTCCCCCGGCCCATCCTGACCCTGCATGGGGCTGTCCCCTCCTTTGTCSCCGCTCTGACTCCCCTCTGGGGCCCTTCCCGGCAGGAGCAGCAGGCGCTGGTGTTCCAGATGATGCAGCAGATCCAGCAGAAGCGGGAGCTGCAGCGGCTGCAGATGTCCGGCTCGTCCCAGCTGTCCATGAGCGGCCTCCTGGCCGCCACCTCGGCGCCGCTGCACTCCAGCCCCAGCGCCCTGATGACCTCGGCGCCCCCGGCTGCCCCCGGCAGCAGCTCCCTGCTGGTGGCCTCGCTGTCCCCCGGCAGCGCCCTGCTGGCCCCGCAGGCCACGCCACCGCTCAGCGCCGCCGGGAGCCTGCTGGGCTCGGGCTCGGCCGTTCCCCCCGTGCTCACGGCACAGCCCAACCCCTTCCTCAGCCTGCAGCCCGACGGCAGCGGCCCCAAAGCAACGGTGCGTACGCGGCTGGCACTGCCCTGAGCCGGGCAGCGATGGGGACAGCTCTGGGGACATTCCTGGGAACGGAGACAGCCCTGGGGACAGCCCTAAGGACAGCCCTGGGGACAGCCCTAAGGACAGCCCTGGGGACAGCCCTGGGGACACTCCTGGGCTGCTCAGAATTTGGGGGATCACGTAGGGAACGGAGCTGGGATGCTCTGTGGCTTTGCTGTGTCCCACCTGGCCAGTGTCACATCCTGGTCCCACCTCTTAGGAGAGCCCTGGCGAGGTCATGGGTGGGTGAAGGTGTCCCCACCTCCTTTTTCCCTAAAATTGGGATGGGATGAGGTGTCTGAAGCAGTGTTTGGAGCCTCGTGGTGGTCCTGAAGGTGGCTCTGTGTGACACCCGAGGTCTGGAAGGGGTCTTGCACCACCCGGCAGAAGTGGAGAGGTTCCAGCCACTCCGTGAGCGCCATCAGTGGGGTACCAGTGTCAGGGCCTGAGGGGTGACACTTCTATTTGCTCCATCCCTCCCTTGTCCCCTTCTCTGCCCCTGTCCCCGTCCCTGTCCTCTCCTTGTCCCTGTCCCCAGAAGGTCCAGCCCTGGCTGGAGACATTTAGGAGTCAAAGGCCAGGATTCTGAGGCCAGTTAGGCCTGAACTGGGCAGAGGGCACCCCGGGGCTCCCAGGGCTCTGGATTTTGGAGGAGTGAGAGCCCTCTGCTCTCCTGTCCCCAATTCCTGCCCTCCCTGATTCCTGCCTCCCCTGATCCGCATCTCCAACCCCAATCCCTGTCCCCCCAGTCCCTGTCCCCTCTGATCCCATCTCCTCTGCTGTTTCTCTCTCTCTCTGTCCCTAAAGAGCATCAATGACAAGGGAGCTCCTCTCACGCAGGACAAGGGCTAAGCCCCGGCCCCGATGGAGCCAACGCCAACTCCTCTTCCCACGGGAACGCGGCTTTTCCAGAGCCGACCCCGGCACCAGCAGAACAAGGAGCACGGAGCCCCCAGGGAGCATCCCGAGAGGTGCTCTGGGGACACAGCCGCTGTGACCGGGCCCTGGCACTGCCGGGAGCAAAGGTGGGGGTCCCCATGCCCTGCTTAATGCGCCAGAGGGAACTGCAGCGAATCCTGCCCAGCTCCTCCCTGCTGGCTGCGTGGGGAGCCCCTGAAGCACCAGAGACGCCCCCAGAGCCCTGTCTGCTGAGGGACACTGGCTGTGGCACCGCTGGGCGAGGATGTGGTGGCACTTGGCAGTGCCCCAGGATGYGGTGGCAGCTGGAAGTGCCCCAGGAGGCAGCACCGGGAGTGGGACCACTGGGAAAGGACTTGGTGGCATGTGGCAGTGCTGCAGGAARCAAGGACGTGGTGGCACCTGGCAGTGTCGCAGGAGGTGGCCCAGGGAAGGATGTGACAACACCTGGCACTGTCCTAGTGGGCAGCACCACACGTGGCACCGCTGGAGAAGGAGATGGTGGAGATGTCCAGAAGAATTCCCAGGGCGGAGATTTCCCAGCTTTTCCCGCTGGGCTCTTCCCTCTGCGAAGCCCAGCTGGAGGAGCTCAGTGGATGAGGATGGATGGTGGGGATGAGGTGGAAACCACCCAGAAGGACATTGTCACCTGCGCCAGGTGCCGGAGGCTCGGAAAGCACATTCCTGCTCCGCGCCGTCTCTTCCGTCCCAGAATTCCCAAACGGCGCCGTCTCCGTTTGGAAAAGGGGCCAGGATTATCCAGAGTCAGAAGGTGCTTTGGGACCTGGGAGTGGGGTCCTCGACCTGAGTTTGGAGATAAAGATGTTTTGGGGGAAGAGAATCCCAAATCGGGTCCCTGTTTTTTCCCACCCACCACAAATCATTCCTGGTCTGGCAAAACCATGTTCTTCCATTGGTCCCGGGAAAAGGGATCTCCAAGGAATGGCACAGTGACCAGAATCCTGAGCCTGGGATGTCGGAACTTTCATCGTTCTCCATCTTTTGATCTTAATTCCATCGTCAGMCTGGAGCCTCCGCTGGGAATCGGCTTCCTCTCAGCTGGGATGGAYGGATGGATGGACRGAAGGACAGTCTGGCAGCTCCTGGAAGGGGAACACCAACTTCCACTGCCCTTCCTTCTCTCATCCCTGGGTAAATCCAGAGTTCGTGGGGTGGGCAGGAATGCTCCAGCTGATGGGAACTCCAAGAGCCCAAATCCCAAATTTTGGGACCTTAATGCCGCGTTCAGCACAGCCCCACTGCCCCTCACTGCTTTGCACTATTCCCATTTCTCTGCAGTGGGGCTGTGCTGATCCTGTTGGAATCCATTGCTAAATGTCCCCCGTTCC